TCATAACAGTCATTGGAGAACATAGAAATGTCAAAATGCACACAGCATATACATACTTGGGTTTTAAAAGACAAGTATTCCCACCACTAATATCGGAAAGAGATAACTAATGCATAAATCGAGTGACGTTTATTCCATTGGCGGTTGGTAACAGTTTGAGCGCGCATTTCAAAACAACTGACAAGCTAGTGCCGCATCAAGATGGCAGAGTAAATCTACCCAAACATCTTAACAGAGTGCAATATTTTCTCCTATATTCATATAAAATGCCTCTAAAACAATGACACACACCTCCGATTGGCAGCCATTTCATTCTGCTGCATTATCAAAACAAATGAACATCCCTGAATTAAAATATAGGCCTACCCAGATTAAATATAACACATCATTGAATACAATAACAACGGAAGAATGTTGCTAGAATTTCTCAGACTTCTTTCACTTGAAATATTCTTTATTTCATAGAATAGCAGATATATTCTCGATTTAGAGAGACGAAGAGTTTAACAGTAAGAGGTAAATTGTTTGTCTTATAATGATTCATTATTTATAAGTGAAACACTTTTTATTCCCATAATCTCCTTTCGTTATCAGTTAATTTCAATTTCTTTGAACATGATTTTAATAAAATTACAGAATCAGATACCGTGAAAAAAATATTTATATGATAAGATATTAAGCGGAGTTCCTGGCCAACGCCCGCATTCGAAGGATCGTGACCAGTACGGTACGCGACCAACGCTGTTGCATGGTTACGGTTGACTTAGCAAGCGCAAGTCTAGCCATCTACGGAGGTCGCTTGAGTTAGCAAGAAAAAGGCTTGAGATTTCAGGCAAGAGCTTTCCCTGCTTAAAACGCGCTTAGAAAAATATTCAAAGAAACTGAAATTAACTGAAAACGAGAGGAGATAATGCTTTACTTATAAATAATAAATCATTATAAGACGAACAATTTACCTCTTACTGTACTGTTACTCCTCGTCTCTCTAAATCGAGAATATATCTGCTATTCTATGAAATAAAGAATATTTCAAGTGAAAAAAGTCTGAGGAATTCTAGCAACATTCTTCTGTTGATAATGTATTCGACAATTTGTTATATTTAACCTCAAAATCGGATATATGGGAATTGGTAGGCCTATATTTTAAGTCAGGGATATTCATTTGTTTTGATAACGCGTCTGAATGAAAGGCCTGTGTCATTGTTTTAGAGGCACTTTATATGAATATAGGAAAAAATATTGCGCTTTGTTAAGATGTTTGGGTAGATTTACTCTGCCATCTTGATGCGGCACTAGCTTGTCAGTTGTTTTGAAATGCGCGCTCAAACTGTTACCAAACTCCATTCTCGATTTATGCATTAGTTATCTCTTTCCGTGATTGTTGGTGGGAATACTTGCCTATTGCTTTTAAAACCCGAGTATGTATATGCTGTGTGTTATTTTGACACTTCTATGTTCTCCAATGATTGTTATGATTTGTACTTTATAGAAAGACACTTCCACATGTCTGGCATCACTGAACAGGGCCTGCTGCCTTGGAAAGCGTTTTAAGCAGGGAACGGTACAGTTCTTGGCCTATAGACCGGAATTCTTGCTCAAGCGCTCCCCTGCTTAAAACGCTTTAAGTTTCTGGAGGGGAGTTGGGTGAAGAGGACTGAGCAACAATGGTTCTCTTTTGGGAGGAGGAAATGAGGGGATAGATATCTGAGGAGCAGAGGAAGAGGAAGGTGTAGGAGAGGATGTGGTAGAAGGTCGAGTGGAATGTTTAGGTTCCCTGGTGCGACAAGTGAAGTGAGGAGAAGGTATAGGTATCGGGGACTATCTGCATTTAGACTGGGAAAGGAATTTGACTGGGCAAGAAAGAGAATAGAGGTACGATGGTTCTTGAGAAGATGGGAGAAGAGCAGAATGAATGACAGTTTTGGAATAAGTAGAGAGAGGAAAACCTCGTCACCGTGCTCCTGTCTGGCCTAACGTAGAGCGGGGCCTAGTTTGAATCTGAGAACTGCCATCTCACATTCGAGCTTATAAGCTGGGCAGCTCCTATAAAATACATTATTGGGGCCACCACGATTGGCACATGTATGTGACTGACCAGAGGAATTTGAACGGTCATGACTAGGTTGGGCACATGGAGGGCAGAGACTGTAGAGCGACAGTGTTTGGCTGGGTGGCCAAAACTCCAACATTTCTGACACTGACAAGGAAGGGGTCGCTATGGTCCAACATCGTAGGACACTCCACCAATATAGACTTCATGAGGTGAGGTCATGTCTACAGAAGCTAATCTTGACAATATTGGTCTCCCTCCCTCCTTCCCCCAGTAAAAGGTATTATACATTCTAACACCGGTGGGGCAGAGTAATTTAATTGGAACGGCTTAGTCATTATTGGTAAGAGTTGCACACTCGAGGAGAAATAAATACGGTACGAGACTGGTCAGTGTTGGTGGTAACTGCAGTAGCGAGCCCTGGCGAGGGCATCCGCGGGGTCCGGAGGT